TCACTCTGGATTATTCAGAAGTGGAATCCCTCATAAATAGCTTCTGTACATGATGGTCTGGGGTGGGGCATGAGGGCATGGGTGTTCCTGCGTCATCCCAGCTCTGCGCCTGCAGGTGGGAGAACAAGGACGTGTACGCGGCCGCGATCCGGAGCCTGCGGATGCGGGAGCTACAGACCCCGGAGTGCATGACTGCAGTGAGGGCAGGGCTGGGCTCCATCATCCCCCTGCAGCTCCTCACCACGCTCACCCCCCTGGAGATGGAGCTCAGGACCTGTGGCCTCCCCTACATCAACCTGGAGTTTCTCAAGGTACAAAGAATGGCAGGTTTGGCCGAGCTCCCCCTGTGACACGGAGAGGAGGATCCAGTGGGAAGGTGTTGGGGGTAATCTGCTTGTGATGCAGCCAGGACATCCTTGGGGAACTCTGGCCTGTACTTGGACACCTCTCTTTACTCCCAAGGAAGTTTTTTAAGATTTCACTGGCTTCAGGAAATAATAGGAGTGGAGCTTGTTCCAGAGAGGAATAAGGAATTTGCTTTTTAACATCAAATTTTATATCCATCTCCATTTTATTGATTTGTATTTATCTGAAGTGTAGTGGGGAAGATTCCCGAAGGCAGAGAGCAGGGCAGGAGTGGACATGTGCTTTCTGTTCCCTCAGGCACACACCATGTACCAGGTGGGACTGATGGAGACCGATCAGCACATCGAGTTCTTCTGGAGCGCCCTGGAGATGTTCACGCAGGAGGAGCTCTGCAAGTTCATCAAGTTTGCCTGTAACCAGGAGAGGATCCCCTTCACCTGCCCCTGCAAGGACGGGGGCCCCGACACCGCCCACGTGCCCCCATATCCCATGAAAATCGCCCCCCCTGACGGCGCTGCAGGTACGGGGGTGTCCTGGGGGTGTCCACCTCCAAAGGCAAGGGGAGGTGGTTCCTCTCATGGCACAGTTCCAGCTTTCAGTCCCCCTTCACGTAATTTAAACTTGTATTTAGTGCACAAAGAATGACAATGAGAGAGGCAGGTAGTTGTGAGTGTAAATAAGAAGAGAATTTGGTTTTAAACCATGTAAAAATAAAATGGAACATAAACCTGAACTTCTAGCGGAAGGTTCCCTGCCCGTGGCAGGGTGGTGGAACTGGATGAGCTTTAACGTCCTTTCCAACTCAAATCATTCTGAGATTCCATGATACTTAAAATTTTGTCTCTAGAGAGACACTGAGAGACTTTGTATATTTGTCTCTTATGCTTTTAAAATTATTGGGCTATCGGAAAAATATCGGCCCAAGGCCTCTTGGAGAAGCACAGGATATTTAAGATTCAAAAAGACCCACAAGAGGCAGGGATTTCATTTTGATACCCTCAGTAAGGGGTGTGGGGGAGGAACAGCTTTGGGACAATGAGGAGAAAAGCACTGGGTCTCTTCAACCGCCCTTCCTGGTGCCTCTCCAACCCCCTCCCGGTGCCTCTCCCGGCAGGTTCCCCAGACTCGCGGTACATCCGTGTGGAGACGTGCATGTTCATGATCAAGCTCCCGCAATATTCCTCCCTGGACATCATGCTGGAGAAGCTCCGATACGCCATCCACTACCGGGAGGACCCTCTGAGCGGCTGAGGAGGAGGAAGGGGGTACCCAGAGGTGACTCTGTCGTGACTCTGCCGACGGTGGAAACCCTCCAGTTCCATCCAGCACCTCCCGTGACTCCACCTGACGAGCTGGAGGTTAATTTATTTTCTGAACCTTCGTTCCCGTTACAGTAATTCCCAGAAGACTTCCATTTTGTATTTGTAGACTTTGTGGTGGACTGGTTCTTTTGCTGCCTTGTTTGTGGAATATTTGTAGGATAGTTTAGTAAAGACCGGTTTGTGTATAATTTAATTGGGAAAAAACCAAACCTTTCAACATGTACATTTCTAATTTTGTAATCCAGAACGAGCTTCCCCTGCAAACACAGCAGCAGGGAGGGCGTTCCGAGGTCAGGAAAGTCATGGATCACTCTCCCTTGAGACATTTTTGAGTACAAAAATGCACAGTTTGGGTGTGGGGAGGGAATCGCTGCACTGGCAGAGGCAGAGCACGGGCACTGTTGTGTCATGGGCAGGATTCGTGGCACTTACTTGAGGTTTGGAGCAGGAACTTCACTGCCAAACCTCATGTCCACCTTTCCACCACTTCCTTTTAAATCTTTTTAAACTCTGAGCAAGCACACGGGGGCTGCCACTTAATATGGGTTCAGCTCAACACTTTTGGGAAGATTTATAACAGAACAGTGAAAGGGCAGTAATTCCATTGGGTTCCTGCCCTAGATGTTCTTGAATGTCTGCTTTGCTTGGCAACAAAATAATGTCTTGTAATTAAAATCTCAGCAGAACAAACTGGCTTCTCTCTGAAGGGTGTAAGATATCACAGTCCAACCCCAAAGTCTGGGACTTGATCCCGGTTCCCAACGAGCTTTCAGAACAACCAGGGTGTGATCAAACTCATTTTTGTACTCAAAAATCTTTGATCTAAAGAGCAAATTATCCTAAAAATGTGACACCTGGCAGGAGGACGAGGAAGGAGGATGAAGCTTCTGTTTTATATGGAAAGACAGGAGCCAGCTGTGGAGAGAGAACGACGCCATGTCTCACTTGGTGTGTTGTGGGACGTGGTTTGGGTGGTCAGAGCAGCCCCTCAAAGGTAGTCTTGTCCCTCACTGGTGTCAGTGGCCACCCCCATCCAGGGGTTTCATGGACGGTGTTGCTTCACTGATCACTTGGAACCTGAATTCCAAGGAAGAGCCCACCCTGGAATCCGCCTGTGCCGGGGGCTCGGCACTGCCCTGAGCCAAGTGCCAGTGCTGGGCTGCACTGGGGTGTCCCTCAGCCTCGGGAAGGGGTGGGTGGGTGGGGTGTGATGGCACCTCCAGGTCAGCATTCCGTGTCTCCAGAACAGGGTTTGGCCTGTCCGTGCTCCTGGGAATCCCACTGTATTTATTGTACATTATTGTGAATATTGGGAACGGTGAGTGTGTGGGACGTGGGAGATGCTGTGAGTGAGGGAAGAGCCTGAACACGTGTGGATGTTGTTGTTCTGTGAGCAAGTGGGAATGTGTGTGCAAGTCGTAGGTAGTCGTTGGCATCCGGAGTCTCCCAACCCAGTGGTTAGGAAGCTGTTACCCTCCCATTGCATATCCCCCTTTCCAGGGAACAGATCCATGTAGGAAGAATATTTACTCTCCAATCTCGTCCATTCCCTGGTAGAAGCGTTTATGTAGCTCAGAAACCACTCGGAGGAAGCGCCAACACCTGGAGTTTACAAAGACCGAGGGAAAACGAAGCCGAAGGAGCGGCTTGGAGCCGGTTTGTTCCCAAAGGGTGTCGTGAGGAAACGTGGGGTACACCAGTGGAATTCCATGGCAGAGCTGTGGCTGCAGGTTGGGCACTTTCTGGGTGGTTTTGGGTTCCAGTCCCCCACGTGAAGCCCGAAAGGCCCCGGGTGGGAGGAGCAGCCACGGAAGGCTCTGGAGCTCAGAATTCCAACATTTCCCAAGGCGCTGGTTCCAGCTGTGAGTAAGAAACTGCTGCTACTGTCTGTGTGCTCCTTGGAGAGCACATCCGAGTGGAGCACATCTGCACCCCGGCCCCGAGACGTGCTGGAAAGTTACTTGATCCGTATTTATTACAGTTAATTATTTATGATTACAAATAACGAACTTTGCGTCGATGCCGTTTGCACCTGGGGGTGTAAATGGAGCTTCTTCTACAGGACAAGTGTCACACCAATAACCAACCTCCATCGACTTGGTTTGTTCTCAAGAACAGGATGAGCCCCACAGGAGAAGGAGCTGTGGGGGGTTTTCTTGGCTTTTTTTTTTTTTTTTTTTTTTTTTTTTAATTTCATGCTCCTTGGGAAGGAAGTGCTGCGGCCCCTCGGCTGCGGCTCCAATGGCCTTTTGATTAAAGCTTTTCTAATCATCCTTAATTCCTCGTGCTTTAAATGAACTTGACATTGTCTGTACTAGGCTTGTTTGTCAAAGCAAAGATTGGTTTGTGATGATTATTATTATTATTTTTTTTAATATATATTCATTCAGAATGTAAAATTATACTAAACCATGGAAAAACTCTGGAGCTGGGTATTAGTTCTAGCTTGGTGTGTGTCCATCTCGGTTCCGTACACGGCATTAACCTGTAAGTGCTCTTGGCCATCGAGTGTACACCTGCATAAAGGAGATTCTTAACATCCCTCTGCACTTCTCGTGTCCTTCTTTGGGGCTGCCAGGAATGAAACCCACTGCTGGAGCTGCCTGAAAGCACAGGATGAGGAGGGTGAGGAAGGAAGCTGCAGGTTCTCTCTTTAAATCCCTCTTTTATGGGTCATTTTTATTTACTTGGAACAAAATGTAAATATTTTGTACCAAAGCGAGCACAGCCACTGCTGAGCTTTCTTTTCCTAGAGACTGGGATATTCATCCTGAGGAATAACACAGGCTCTGCCACCTCAGTAATTAGTTACTTGTCATACTAATGGTTTCTGACCCCAAGCATCCCATTATCCGTCCCAAACCCCAGGAACCAGCTCCCTTTCCCTGATCTTCCCCAGGAATGGGGAGAACACAGGTTTGGTTGCCACCTGTTCTTGAATATCTCTATTCTTCTTGTATAAATAAACACCTTTGGTGGGAGCATCTGTAAAATGTCTTTATTTTAGGAGGAAGATCCCTCCAGCCCTCATTAATCTCCGGCTGCACCAGTGGGATGGAGATGAGACCCTGCCCAAAGGGTGACTGGCTAATTAGCCCTGCTAATGCCATCTGCTGCACCCCCTTAATTAGGCTTCTCAGAGACCTGCTGCAGCTCTTCCAGTACCACTTCCCAAAGCCCCAGGGCTGCCAACAGCACAGGAACACAGACCCAGGGCAGGTAAGGGTGGAACGGGGGTTCCCAGACCCCCTGTCCAGCACCAGGGAAACACCCTCAGGGAAGGTTCATGGAACAGATTTTTACTGCACAACGTTTTGAGACAGCATCAGATAAACTTTATTCCAAGGAATTTACAAAACTGGGATAATGCGAGAAGCTTTTGACCTTTGACCCTCGGTCCTGCTCCGTGTGAGTCAGGTCCATCCAACTGCTCCCTGCTGGGCGACACCTGCTGTGCCTGAGCAGGACAAGGCAGGACACACCCTGGGAGCTCAGCCTGGCATAAATCCTGTCCTGGGATTGCACAAGGAGCCCACACGGACACAGAACCCAGGTGGGGCCAAGGTTTTGCTGCCTTGGGGGTGCTGGGGGCAATCGGAGACGTAAAAACCTGAAGTTTGCTCTCACAGATTAAAAATAGATACTTAGAAAATGGTCACTGCCTAAAAATTTAAATCCAAGGTGGGAATTTACTTGTGCTCTGACTAGAGTGGGGCAGAGCACAGGAACAGGGCCAAGAGCTCCGTGTCTTCCAGCGCTGGTGGCTCATTCCTCGGGGGATCCGGCCCCTGGGCTCTGGGCTTTGGCCTTAAGGGAAGGGGAAAAGAAAGGAAAAATACTCTTTTCAAATATTACTTGATAATAAGCAATTGATAAAAAGCTCTCTGAAGCAGGAGAAATGTAAAATAACTCCTTGTCCTGGCAAAGCTATCACAAGGGGTAACAGCCAGGGACTGTCCTGTCCTCTCTGCCCGTCTCCCTTGCAGGAGGAGCCCAGTGGGAGCCCCGGAGCAGCACTGGGACCCCTGGAACTCCCACCCCCTGAGCCCTGCAGGGCTGGGACCCACGTGCCCAGATCCCAGCCCATCCCACTGCCAGAGCTGCCCCTGCAGCCTCACCTTGGAGCTCCTGCGCCTGAGGCCGATGCGCCCGTCCTGCAGCCTGAGGCTCCTTCCTCCAGTACTGGGGCTGTGGGGGACCAACAGGGACACCTTCAGAGGAGGCAAACACACCTGGGACAGGTGAGCATCACAGCAGGGACATGGAGAAGGGGTCAGGGAGAAGCTCTTGTGTCTCCCCTGAGCCCTGACCCAGGTATTTCTGTAACAGAACCAGCTCCTGTTCAGAGCCTGCGGAGAGCAGAGCACTGCCATGGACAGGTAACCAGGTGTCATCCTGCATTTTATCCCAGGGGCCACTTTGTCCATTCTATTTTGAGGTAAGAAGCTAAATTTGTTTGAATCTCAGATAAGCACCAGCCAAGTTCAACTGAGTCCATTGGAAAGCCTGTGAAAAGCTTTTCAGCTACAGGCAAATTCAAGAGAATCCAGATCTGCACCTCAAGGAAGGGGAAGAGAACAGAAGGCAAAGGTGGTACCTTGGCTGGGCTGGAGCAGCTCTGGAGAAGCTGGAGGTGAAGGTTTCTCCATGGAAGTGCTGAGCAGGTCTGGCTCGTGGCGTTGTCCCCCCTGCAGCTTCACCTGTCCCTCTGTCCTTTGGTCTCCCCTGGCTGCCATTCCCCTTCCTGGGCTTGCCCTGCATGTTGGGAGCATCAGCAGCTCCCGGGGAACAGGACAATGGTGTGTTCCTGGCGTTGGCCATGTCATTCCTCAGCTTGGTCCCTCGGGTAGGGCAGCCCAGCCCTGACTGCCCAAAGCCTTCTGTGTGCCGAGGAGAAACATCTCCTGCAAGGACAGGACATGGAGTTTAACAGGAACAGCACCTGCAGCACCAGCCCCTGGAGAGAACAGAACCAGACCCATTTCCATCCCTGCAACCCAAGGCTCCGTAACAGAGATCGTTGAGGACCCAGAGTTTAGTGATTTAATCCTCCCAGACTGGGGGAGAGGACTGAAGGTTTTTCAATTTAGAGACAGAACAGGGTAACAGCACCAGCACAGAGCACGTTTGATGTGCCCCAACCACAGAGCAGAGTGAGCCTGTGCTGTGCCCACCTTGGTGCCTGCTCCGTCGCCGTGCTGGCTCCGGTGATTCCCGTCTCTCCGGGGCTGGAGCAGCGGCCGCAGGGCTGGCCGGGCGCAGGTCACACTGGTGCTGCAGCAGAACACACAGACACTGCTCATATCACACCCCACCCAACTATTCCTGGGAAACACTGAGCAGCAGCACCCCCTGCAAAGGAGAAGGTTAGTAGGGAATTGTTGTCATGGAATCCCAGAAGGGACCTTAAAGCTGATCCAGTTCCACCCCCTGCCAGGTTGGACAGGGCTTGGAGCAACCCGAGCTAGTGGGAGGTGTCCCTGCCCATGGCAGGGGCTGGAACTGGATGGGCTCTAAGGTTCCTTCCAACCCAAACTATTCTGGGGTAACCTATGAAATGGTATCAGATCTCATTTCCAACAACCCTGATTTTACTCTCCCCCAGGATAGGAGAGGAAAGGCCCAGAACAACCACCCAAACTCCAGCTGCAAACTCCAGTTTGTTGGGACCAAGAGTGTGAAAGAGCCATGACATAGAAAATGAGTGAGCTCAGCATTTTCCAATCTTGTCTATAACAGCAGCAGATTCCAGAGGGCACACCACTCCCAGGTCTGTTCTCTACTTCCTCTCCCACCCACACAGTTTTGCCCTTGTGCTCCTCTCCCCCCTCAGCTGACTCACATCCAGATTTCCGCAACATTTTCTGTATGAGTCAAATACTTCAATTGTGCAATTTCAGCCCTTTTGTTTAGTTTCTGTTACAAGAGCTTTAAAATAATCTGGTACTTTTCAGTCAGAGCCTCACCCTGGCACAACCCTCCAGCTGGACCCCAGGGACAGTTACCTGAATTCCTAAAATGTACCCCCAAGAGCCCTCAGGACTCAGCACGTCCTTGAGCTGGATGTGACACGACAGATCGCGTCCTGTTCAGTACCTGATGATGGAAGAGAATCTCCTCTTCCAGTTGGATGCCACAAAATTCACATGGAATCATGATGTTTCCATCTGCCTGGACAGCTTGGGGCTGGGATGAAGGGAGAGTCCTCCAGCTGTTGGAGCCAACAGCACACAGACCATCGTAGTCCCATGGATTTGGAGAAGAGCTTCTCTTACTGAACGAGGCAAAGGCACTTGCTGGGTTACACCCCGTCTGTTACACAAGAAACACAGAAAAATCACCTTTCCTGCTGAGCCAGGGGACTCTAAAAACCACTTTCCTTGGCAAAGACCCAACTGCCAGAGTTCTCTCAGTGTCACTGTGTCAACCACACCCTTTCCAGTCACAGTAAAGTCTTTACTTCAAACCCCAAGACACAAGGTAGCCCCAAACCTGGTGAAGGATCAGCTCCTCGGCAGGGCAGAGCTCCTCACAGAACTCACAGGGCAACATGATGGTCTCCATGTCTGCAAAGGAAGGAAACATCCTCTATTGTGGAGAGTCTGGAGCAGCTGGAGTGACCGATCTTCACAATTCCTGAGCACCAGGCTCTGGTCTGTGCTGGGACAGCACCCAGAGCAAACGCTGAGGAAACAGCTCCTCCCGTCCCACTCGCTGAGCTTCACATCACCCAGAGGAGAGCAGTGCTTTGGGGTCAAAGATGGAGTGAATGGTCTGGGAAAAACACCTCTTACTGCCCTCAATAAACCCTTCAGTGCCATTTGTCCTTCCAAAGTAAGCTGCTCTCCAGGCCTCTCCCAGATCCTACTTCCCATCATGTCTAATTTCCACGAGAACATCCCTCCCTGGCTGTGGTGGGGCTCCTACCACTAACCAAGGTCAGAGACCCCCCACAGCTTTTATTCCTTCTTCCCTTGCTTTGCCTTAGGAGTAGTCTAAGAGACTAATTTTGACATTTTAAAATACCTAGATAATTTTTAACATTCCCAGTCCAATCTTTCCTTCTCCCTTCACTCAAATTTAAGGAAACCCCCACCACCACCACCATATTTACACTTACTTTTTCTGCGGTTTGAGGTGCTAAAAGACCCTGGAGAGTCGTAGGAGAAGGTGTTTGACTGCTGTGTCTCACTGAGGTGGGCAGCTGACCCGGGCTCTTTGGTGTAGTCATATTCCCAGAAGTCCCTGGGAATTCCAGCTGCAGTGTTAGGGTGAGGATTATTCTCATTTTGCAGGCTGAGAGCCAACGCGTAGTCTAACTCAGCATTCCACTCCTCTGGAAGTGGGGAATGAGGGATTTCATTTCTCTCCAGCTGCTCCAGCTCATCCTCTTCAAAAGATAAATATTGTAAATTTGAGAAAACATTAAGCCTGCCCCCAGCAGTTCCCTCCCAGGACACTCCCGGAGTTCAGCCTTTCAAAGCCAAGGACAGCTGTCCCAAATTCAGGAGGATGAACAAGGAGAATCATCCTGGGTTTGTTTGTATCAAGCAAAAAAGGAGAAAAATAAGGAAGTTGTAACTTCCTTCTTACTCCAAAAGCTTGAACTGAGGCTTCTTGGGAGCTTTAGTGACTACACTGAGCAAGTTATTAATACCCTGTAACCTTATCCCTTTTACAAGGCTGAAACACTCCAGCTTTGTTTTTTCAGTATATTGATAAGAAAACAAATTATTCTTAATGACACCGTATTTGACAACAGTGGGAATTACACAGAAGAAACCCACAAAATGTCACAGTTTCAAAATTTTCATGGGTTTTAATTTCGTTTTCTGGTAGGGAAGCTGCACTGAAAGGAAAACCGGGCTTCCAGAGGCTGCCCTGGAAGGAAATCAGGATTCCAGACTTCTGATTTCTTTGATTCTCCTGCTCCTGTTTTCCCCCTCACAGCTGCCCTAAATCTGCTCCTCCCCCTGGGCTCCCCCCCAGCCCAGCCCAGGTACCTGGTCTCAGTCGGTTCCTCACACCTCGCAGACCTCCCTCCTCATTCCCAAATCCTGGTGCTGTCCCGCTCCCTCGGGGTTTCTCCTCTGTCCCACAGACCCGGGGGTGCTCCTTGAGGTCCCTCAGCAGGACATTCCGGCCGCAGTCCCCGCAGGGCTCGGTCCTGGCCCCGCAGTAGCTCTCGTGCTCCTGGAGCTTGTTGAAGGCCAGCGGGATGTCACAGAACTGGCACAGCACGGGGCGCAGGGGACACGCTGACTCCTGCAAGACACACAGGGATGGCTCTTCCCACGTGAGGCAAAGGAGGAGGGAGGGTCTCAGTCTGCTCAGGGGTTCAGCACTCTGTTGTTTCCTCATCCAAAGCCTCACTAAAAAATAGCCTGGAATAAGATACGACCCGAGAAACGTAACAAAAACGTGTTGTATGACCTGTGTACCACAAACTGAAGCTCTCCAGATACTCAGAGCATCGTTTGAAATTATTTTTGACCTGGACAGCAGGTTCACACGGAGGTTTTTGGAGGTGGCTTTTAGATACAGACCTGAAATCCAAGGACATTTCACTGAGTACAGCTAAAAACCACCTTGGTGTGTGTTCTGCAGGGAACAGACTTACACCTCATTTACTACTCAGCAAAAACTGCTTGCAAATATTCTTTACCCCATACTCGACAACAGGTAAGTTGCCCTTTAAAAGAGGTTAAAAATAGATAAAATACCTGTTATAACTGCAGATGCTGCAATAATAAAACAGCACTGTTTGCTTTGCAAACAAAGCCAAAAGCGTCACACACAAAGGGGCAGGATAAGCCACTTCCAGGGTTTAGAACTGGACAGATTTCCAAGGAAAATCCTTTTCCCCTCAGCAATAAACAGGCTGAGGTGGCACTTCCAGAGCTGCCTTTAAGTGAGCCCACGGGAAGGGACTGACATTTATAACAAGATTGCCTGTGACAGCAGCCAAGTGGATTCAGAACTCAGAAAATCCCACTGTGTCCTATTTTAGTTTATTTTACAGGCTATTTTTAAAATCTGTTTGGACAGAAGTTATTGCAACTCACATATAATAAGGAGTTATTAAAACTCAATCCCTGCAGCAGAGGCAGAAACATAAAATGGTAAAGGAATGGACAAAAAGCCAGGTTAATTATATTTTGAAATACTTATTTTTCACCTTAATCACTAATAAGGACCAAAAATTACCAGTTATCACAGATGGCTTGACATGAAGACCCTATGTGGCTCCAGCACTTTAAGGCAGTTTCCAACCCCCTTCTCCCAGAAAGTGTGAATTTAGGAAGCATCACTCAATAAAAGGATGCACCAACCACAGGCTGGAATTCTGGCTGACAGGAAGGCTCTGGAATCAGTGCCTGGAAACACCACAGAGTCTCTCCCAAGGGTTTAAGAAGAGAAAATCCACCAACCTCGTGATCCTTAAGGAGACTGTTTTCAATCTTCATCCTACACTTGCAGGTCACCTGCAGCAAACAGATCTGGTTGGATTAATTGCCACAGAAATCAGCAGTTTCAGAGGGGGAACGTGTTTCTCACCTGCACATGTTCAGACTCAATGTGGTTCTTCATCTCAGACTTTGGGATGGAGTCACTGCAGTAGGGACATATTTCAATATTCCTGCGACAGTGGATTTCATGGATGAGGAAATTAACTGCAGGAATGTCCTTTTTGCTGGGAGAAAAATCACTGAGGTTACTGGGCAGAAACACACTGACAACAAATTCAAAAAGTTGTTCATAACAAAAAAATAATGCTAAGGAAAATTTTGATGAATTCATGGTTTAAAGTGATTGAGTAACTCCAGAGAAAGGCCCAGCCAGGCCTCAAGGTTCCTGCACAGGTGGATATTAATGTATTTAGCACCCAAAAATCACATTGCATTAAGATAAAATCCAGGTGCATTTATTTCCTTATGTGAAAGGTGAATCATGCAGCACAAACAAGTTATCACCGGTGCAAGTTAATAAACTAACCTGAGGAGATAAAAGCTTCTGCCTGAAAATAACTTGGCTATGAGAGGTCAAACAGTACCTTGCTTGGAAAAAAATAACTGACAGATGCCATTAGGCCAGATTTGTTCAGGGAATGATGAAATCATGGAATGGTTTGGGTTGGAAGGGACCTTCAAGCTCATCCAGTTCCACCCCTGCATGGGCAGGGACACCTTCCATAGCCCAGGTTGCTCAGGGCCCCAGTACTAACAACACTACTCTGTACCCCAAAATTCCCCAGCTCTTATTTCTAAGATGCCCATTTTCCTTCCCTGAGGACAGGAAAGGACCAAAGATAAAAGGACCAAAAAGAACCGAGGCGCCAGGAGCTCAGTCCTCACTCCTGCCTCAAGCAGGAAGCATCGCTTCTAGATGGATGTATCATTCCCCCTCCAGGAAATCAGCCCTGAAAACACCCAAATTAACTGTATAACCTCTTGCTCCAACTCCAGCTGTTCATGTTTCTTTTTTTTTGCCAAAACCCTGGTAAAGCAACAAGGCCCCACAGCAGCGTCTGAGCTGCGCAGACCAAACAAACCCGGATGATGTTGCAAGAAGCCCTTTGGGTTCTGCTGTCTCTTTGAAAAAAAACAACACTGAAGAAGTTGATTTCTTTAACTGCTTGTAGTCAGGACCCAATTTGTGAGGTGATGTCGTTATCAGTCACTGAATTACCATCACTGGGAGCTGCTGTCAGAGAGAAGAACTTCCACAACAACATATGCTTAGGGCTTCTATTTTTATATTTCTCCTGAGCTTCTGAGGCACAGAGCTACTGAAGGAAAACCTGAAATCGTGTGGATTTCACTGAAAACCGAGTCTGTATTTCTATCTGAACGCTTTAGTTTCTCCCTAACGGCCTGTTAAGAAACTTGAGTAAAAGTGGAGAAAATTACAAGGCGTTAATAGCTGAGAAGGTAAAAACGACGCCCAAGCGTTTGTCTATAAAGGCAGTAGTTATTCCGCTGGATCGCCGGTGTTTCCAGCATTCCACAGAGTCCTACCCCGGTTCAACGCGGCTCCGGCCCGGCCCAGCCCTCACCGACCCCGGCCCGGCCTTACCAGTTCCCGCAGAGCCGGGACTCGGCCCCGGGCACGGCGGCGATGGCCATGGCTGGGCCGGTGCCCCGAGGGGCTGCTGCTGCTGCTGCTGCTGCTCCTGCCCCTTCCCCTGGCGGGGAGCGAACGAGAAAAGGAGGGAAGGAGGAAGGGAGCGAGTGAGGGGGTAGCGCGGCCCGGCGGGTGCCGCTGGCGGGTGCCCCCAGCCCGGCCCGGGGCGGTTGCAGAGGTCGGTCCCGGTGCTCCGGGGCTCCGGCCGCTCGCTCGGCCCTGGGCTCGGCGGGTGCCGCTCGCAGGTCCCTCCGGGCTCGGCGGGTGCCCCCGAGGGGTCGGTGGCCGGGTGGCGGTCGCGGCTACTCCGGGGCTCGGCGGGTGTCGATCGCGGGCGTCCCCAGGCCCGACCCGGCTTAGTGTCGGCGCCCCTGATCCGCGTCAGTCACCGCTCCCGGTGGCTCGCGTCCCCAAACCCAGCCCGGGCCGCTCTCGCCGCCTCCGCGTCAGAGCCAGCGTCCCCAACCCCGACTCGCGTCTCTCACGCGTACCCCCAAATCCCCTTCCCACCAGCGCTGCGGATACCCCCCCAGCTCAGCGCCGCGGATACCCCCCCAGCTCAGCGCCGCGGATACCCCCCCAGCTCAGCGCCGCGGGTATCCCCCCCTCCCCAAACCCTCCCCGAGCCGTATCCCGGTGTCCCCAATCCAGGGTCGCTTCCCTGTATCCCCCCCGGGCCCTGTCCCGCCCTCTCTCTCCCCCCTCCTCCTCCTTCCACCCTCCGCCGCTCCCGCCACCTCCGGGGCCGTGCCCGCCCCCGCCGCGCCTGCGCGCCGCGTTCTGCGCTCTCATCATGGCGGCGCGGGGCCATGTGCAGGACCCCAACGACCGCCGCCTGCGGCCCATCTACGGTACGGCCTCCGCGGCGCCCCTCACGCCCCTCACGCCGCAACCCCCGAGGCCACAGGGCTCCCGCCGCCCCTCCCGGGGCGGCGGGAGCCCTGTGGCCTCGGGGGTTGCGGCCCCTCGGGGGGGGGGGGTGGTCTCCCCGCGGGTCCCCCCCCTCACAAGCGGGGATGAGTTGGAAGGAGTCCGGCTTCTGGTCGCCGGGTGTTCCGTGCAGTCGGCGTTGCTTTAAAGAGGTTTGGAGGCAGCGTTGTCCCTATGCAGATGTGGGGAGAAAGGGGGAGGATAAACGCTTCCGCGGGCTACGGTAGCGTTTCTTCCCTTAAAAAAAAAAAAAAAAAAAAAAAAAAAAATTGATGGAGGTTTTGGGGAAATGTTCCCGACTTGTTTTGTCGGCTCTCGCAACGCCGCGTTCGGGGCTGGACGTGCTTTGGGGTGGGCTTTGGGATGGCGCGGTCCGGGCTCTGCGTCCCCCGGTGGGCTCCAGGGAGAGGGAGGGGAGATGGTTTTGTTCGGTTAAAAGTGTTCAAGTTCGCTGCAGTTTGCCTTTATGTAACGTTTTTAAGTGTTTTTTTCCTTAGTTTGCTTGTCCGTGCTGTGATTGTCGGTTTTATTGGTGTGCGGTTATCTGTGTTATGACCCGGGTGAGAAGTGGTCTTAACAGAAAAATCTGGGTGAATTCAGCCGGTGTTGAAGCAGATGATGTTGAATGTCTCGTTGTGTTCGTTTCAGAGAGTGGAGCTTTTAGGGAGAGAGCTTTAGAATCTTTTTCTGCTCGTTCTGGAAAGGATTATCTGCAGTGTGAGGTTTGAATTCAGGCTGTGGTGCTGCAGAACCCAGAATAAAGTGTGTGTCCTTAGAGATGTAAATACACAACTTCCCCAGATCATCAGCTGGGGATGTGCAGCGGGAGGGCCGAGGTCTGGCTCTTGATTTAAACCAGTGTTTTCGCGTTTGTGCTGTGGTTCCCCAGAGTTCCTCGACAGCTCTGCTTATCTTTCATCTGGGCTCGTTCTGCCTTCACCTGAAAGTTCAGGTGTTGCATTTCCAGCCTCTGAACGTCCCCACCTACAGACCTGTGCCTGATGTGGGCTGGAGTTTATTTTCCTTTAGTTCCTTTGGAATGTGCCACCTACTCTGGCTTCCAACAAACTGACTTATTAGCAAAACACAGTCTCCTCATGCTGCAGTTTAGGGAGGTTTGTGGGTTATTTGGTTTACTTTGAGAGACCCAAAGCCGAGATGTTCAGCAACCTCAGACAGTGGTGGGTAATTTGTGTGTCAGTAAACTATGTGACACAGATCCTTGAATCAGAGTTTCTGATGTTCTGTTGCACATTTTTGAAGTCTCTTCACCGAGAAATCCCTCCTTAAGTTTAATGTTAAAGGTGATACACGGGTTCTCCTGAGTTAAAACACCCATGTGAAGACAAAGTATCGTGGCTTCAGACTGGATTTTGTGCAGCAATGTTTAGTTTTGGGGTGTGGAGATACTGCCTCGTTTGAGGCTTGCTCTGGATGGTCTCAGGAGCCCAATTAGCTCTGCTTTAAATCTGCAGCACACATTGGCTGTGGAAATAATGTGGGAGCTGCTGAATATAAATCTCATTAGCAGAGATGCACAGTTTGTACCATGTGCCCAGAAATCACCAAAGGTCACCTTTTTACTCAGTAAAAGAGTTCTGTCTCATAGTGGGAATGACAGTCTTGAGGAGAAAGAGGTGTGTAATGTAATTCCAGTTAACGGGAATGAACTCTGCTGATAGTTTGGCCACAGCAGTGTGAGCAGACCCTTCCCTTGGCACATGAAGGGGCAGCTAAGCTGGGTTTTGGTTTGGAAATAGGAATTTTTGAGGGACGGGAAGCACGCAGGGGTCATGTCTTGATCTAAAACTCCTTGCTTGTAATTATCTAATAACATGATGATCAATCCGAAAATTATAATTCCAAGCTAAAAAGGAGAAAATGGTCTCGAGGTGGGTTTTCTGCAGCTGAAGTTTCACTGGACAGTGGGATGTCCCCAAGGAAATATTGATGCTTCACACTTGTGTTTTCAGAAGCAGTCTGGTGGAAGCACAGTGGTGCTCTGTGAGGGGACAGGTTTGCTCTGCCTGGGGGATGGATGGTGTGGAGAAGAAGTTCTCACTGAACACTTTATTATAGAGTGTGATGTTAAGTTTGTAACCTCCTGCCTGTTAAAGTCACTGAAAGTCTCCCAAAGGCACACCCAATTAATTTCTCCTTTTCCTGCTGAAGCACTGGAGCTGCATTGCCAGCAAAAAGCTGTTGCTGCAGAATCCCTTCTATTATGTGTCTCTTTTGTTGCTGTCATGATCTGTGTGGAGTAATTACAAAAGCTTGTTTGTTTGAATGACTAAAACCAGCACAGTGAGATGAATCCTTCACCCACGAAGTGACACGTTTCCTGAACGTTTGGTTTAGGAGTAATTGTACAAGGAAAAGGTGGTTTGTGCTCCTGGTGTAAGAGCAGAGGGTAAAACTGGAGATGGCTTTGCAGAGTGGCCTTGTGCTGTGTGTAACACTGGCTGTGTTGTTCCTGTGCAGATTATCTGGATAATGGCAATAATAAAATGGCAATCCAGCAAGCGGATAAACTGCTCAAAAAGCACAAGGACCTTCACTGTGCCAAGGTAAGTGTGGCTTGGGGGCACCCACCTCGTTCTGTCTGAGGTGTTTCACTGTGATGTTCCAGAGACCAGTGTCTTCTGAACCCTCTGGAATCTCTCTGTCCTGATCCACGTGTCTCGTTTGCCTGAACTCGTACAGATCCTGTGGGTAGTGAGTGGAGTATTGGTTACACCCGAGCTCATTGTCTGGCTGTCAGCACCACCCAGACAACCTTGGCACATGGGCTGGGCCTCAGAAATGCCTCTTTGAGACCTCAGGTTGGGACACTTCTCTGTAGGAGCTTGCACCAAAACATCTCCTGAGGGGTGGAGTCTTTGTAAAACATACCAATTGAACAGGTTGCCCAGAGAAGCTGTGGCTGCCCCATCCCTGGGAGTGTCCAAGGCCAGGTTGGACAGGGCTTGGAGCAACCTGGGATAGTGGAAGGTGTCCCTGCCCATGGCAGGGGGTGGGACTGGATGAGCTTTAAGGTCCCTCCAACCCAAACCATTCTGGGATTTTGTGATTCCATAATTTTGGAGGCATTTGCTCTTCTGCTTCTTGTCCTCTCCCTCCTTGCAGTGCCCTGGTGAAGGAAAGGCAGTTCTGTCCTTCACTTTTCCGAACATGTGACTCTCTTTCTACTTTCCTCATTTCCCTGGGGGTTTCCCTCTACAGGTCACACCACTTCTATGTCCTGAAAGCTTCCCAAGCTGCAGAGAGTGTCATTGACCTGAATCTCATTTATGTCACTTCTCTCTGGCCAGTTATTGAAAAGAAACAAATGAAAATGGGCAGGACTGGCCAGTGTTCAGCCTGCAGGGAGAGAAAGCCCAGTGGCAGGTGATGCTGGAGCAGCCTGGATATTTGGTAGGAAATCAGATCCCCCTCTTTGATGCAGCCTGGATTTGGGAGTTTTTCTTTACAGCCATATGGGTTAGAAGCTTAATAAAAGCTGAAGTTCTGTAGGAGAAACAGGGTGGTTGGGCAAAGTTTGACGAGGAACGAGAGGATTTCCACTGGTAATTGCAAATCCTGAGAGCTGCCTGTGTTGTGTCCACAGGTTCTGAAGGCCATTGGCTTGCAGAGGACTGGCAAGCAGGATGAAGCCTATGCTCTGGCACAAGAAGTAGCAGCACTTGAACCCACAGATGATAATTCCTTGCAGGCACTAACCATCCTGTACCGGGAAATGCACCGACGTGAGTTTGTTCCTTTGCCTGCCTTAAAAATCTCAATTATTTACGTTCTGCCAGAAGTTTGTGGGACCCACTGTGGTGGGAAACATGCAAAATCCAGAGTTTGTGTCTGTGAGAGGCTGCAAGGGACTCAGAGAATTTAAATGATGCCTGTAAGGCTCCAGTGATCTCCATAAAGCTAAAAAAACCTTGTTCAGGTTTCTCATTAACATGATTGTGTAACAGTTCCTAAATGAAGCAGGTTGATAATCATCCAGCAGCCTGTGAGTTC